GTTTTCTGCATCAGGAAGCGTGTACATGGCATGTATGCACTAGTTAGTGCATGCTTGGCAGGCATGCGCTAGCTAGAGCGTGCTTGCAGGCATGCTCCAGTTAGAGCATACTATGTACACTCTTTGATTTGTAGAGCACGTTTGATTCAAATCCCATTTAGCGACTCTGGAGCTCAAAACGCGTCTAGAGTTTTGGCCGCCCCACCGGTCCTCTGGCCCACTGTGCGGCGCCTCCAGCACCCGGCGGCGGCAGACTGATCCCGAGAGTCGTTTTCGTCGCTCTGTCTCTCTCCCACCTATCCGGGCCACCCCAGGAAAGCGAGGGAGACAGAGCGACGGAAACGACTCTCCGGCATCAGACAAACAAACACCTTGCCGGTGGCTGCGGCTGCCTGGCGGCTTCACACAGCAGTGTAGGGTTGCTAGGTCGCCCTGTCTCTCTCCCGCGGGGTGCGAGAGAGACAGAGCGGCGAGAGCGCGCTGTTCGGAATCAGCCTGCGGCTGACTCGCGCGCCACGCGGAAGTTGACGAAGTTTCTCGCCGAGCCATGAGGAATGCAATAATTAAACTGTAAAACTTCCCCCAGCGCGGTGCGGGGCGCGGACGGGCAGGCTCACGTGAGAGAGAGAGGGAGAGAGGGGGAGAGAGAGAGAGAGAGAGAGAGAGAGAGAGAGAGAGAGAGAGAGAGAGAGAGAGAGAGAGAGAGGATGAAGTGGTGGCGCGCAAGGCGCAAGGCCTGCGCTGCAGAAAATTGAGGTCTCCATTACACGGCACATAGCTCTCGTGGGACGCCTCTGTACGGGGCGGGGAGTCATGGGGAGTCATGGGGAGGGGCTGCAGTAGTGCTATAAATTCTAATAGTTTAATCAAGCCATTAACAGCCCTTGATCACGCAGCCTGCCTTGGCGTGCCTTGGCCCAGGCAGTCTCTTAAAATAACACTCAGGGGGTGGGCGAGACGTGACCTCCCCCACCCCACCCCCTCCCTCCGAACCCCGAGGGCCCGCCAGGGGTCATACTACTTGTATACCTGCGCTGCCTCGAACACGCGGCCATGGTACACGCCAAAATTAAAAATATGCAAATCGCCATGGTTGCTGCAATGTGACAGTTTAAGTATTGCGTTAATTCTTGGTCAATTATATTTTTGCCGTGAAACTTTGGCTGAGCTGGCTTCACTGCTAATCCAAGTGTGGACCAAGTCCACGCTAAATAGCGTGGACCACGGTGGTCCACGCTAGGAAACGTGGACCATGAATGGTCCACGCTAGGAAGCGTGGACCACGGATGGTCCACACTTGGAAGTGTGATTGGCCTATGAGAAGTTCAACGCTGTGAAGCGTGGACCACAGCTCGGTCCACGTTTTCTAGCGTGGACCACGGCTTGGTCCACGCTTCATAGCGTGGACCATTCGTGGTCCACGTTTCTTAGCGTGGACCATTCGTGGTCCACGTTTCCTAGCGTGGACCACCGTGGTCCACGCTATTTAGCGTGGACTTGGTCCACACTTGGATTAGCAGTGTTGTTTAGTTATGGTAGACAACGTTGGTTCGACTGGTCAGTATTTCTTTCGATTCGGTGTTGAATAGACGAGACTCGTCTGTCTGTCTGTCTGTCTGTCTGTCTGTCTGTCTGTCTGTCTGTCTGTCTGTCTGTCTCTCTCTCTCTCTCTCTCTCTCTCTCTCTCTCTCTCTCTCTCTCTCTCTCTCTCTCTCTCTCTCTCTCTCTCTCTCTCTCACGTGGCGGCCTCCCTCCGTATGCACTGTAAAACAGAGGAAAAGCTTGGCCGGGCCAATTCCCCCTCCATGGGAGAGCATCCATCCAACAAAGCCGCCAGGTGCGAAGAGCCAACCGCCGAAACGCTGACTGGTGCGCCGATTCTGCTTTCAGGCACACTGACAGACAGGCAGACGGACGGACGGATGGAGAGACAGGCAGACAGACAGGCGGACGGACAAACACGGCGCGAACGAACAAACAAACAAACAGCGAACGCGCCAGGTAGGCACAGACACGTTTGCACTTTGGCTCGTCCGGCAGCGCGGCAGCATTGGAAGCCGGGGAGCCGACGGGGAGCCGACGGGGAGCCGACGGGGAGCCGACGGGGAGCCGACGGGGAGCCGACGGGGAGCCGACGGGGAGCCGACGGGGAGCCGACGGGGAGCCGGGGGGCTGAATAGCTGCCAGGGACGTGCCGCACTCACTACCTGCTGCTGCTGTGCATTAGGCGTCTGTGTGTGTGTGTGTCTGTGTGGGTGTGTGCGCGTGAGGGTGTGGGTGAGTGGTGCTTTGTGTGCGTGCAAACACGTGAGCGCACGACGCGCGGTGGCTGAGCCGTGCTGCGCCGCGCCGCGCCTCCCCGCCGCGTCGATCCAGCAGCACCAGCAGTCGAACGCCGAACGCCCGCCGAGTGCGGGATAGGCACGCCGCAGTACGCGCGTGCGCGCAGGCCGGGGGGCTGCCTACCCGCGGGGCGCTCCCCTCTCTCGTTTTCCTCTCTCTCTCTCTCTCTCCTCTCTCTCTCTCTCTCTCTCTCTCTCTCTCTCTCTCTCTCTCTCTCTCTCTCTCTCTCTCGTCCTTGTGACGCCTGAGAGGCTGGAAGTGCATCGCCCTGCCGTAAGCCAACGAGGAGATGTATGAGGGTGAAAATTAATCACCATTTTCTGCACTGGTGAAACAAAGGCATAAAAATTATGCCCTTAAAGGGCGTAAACGATTTACGCCCTTAAAGGGCATAAATCGTTAATGCCTTTGGGAAGGGCATTAAAATTTTGCTTGAAATTCCCATACCATTTACGCCCTTCCCAAGGGCATAAAACGATTTATGCCCTTGCAAGGGCGTAAAAGAGCATTTATGCCCTAAAGGGCGTAATTTTTATGCCTTTGTTTTACCAGTGTGCACGCTGTGTTACGTGTATTTTTATGTGTGTGTGTGTGTGTGAGAGAGAGAGAGGGGGGGTGCTGCCCGCGGACCGGGACCGCCCTCGGGACCGCTGGCTGCCGGCACTGCCGGCACTGCCGGCTCGGAGCACCGACACCCCGAGCCAAACACTAAAAGCAGATAGATAAGCCCGGCCCAGCGCTGCGCCGCGCCATCCCCGGCCGGTTTTGATACAGCAGTATGGTGACCGTAGCGGGGCAGGGGGCGGGGGAAGGGGTGGTGACGTCATGTCATTTAGACCCCCGCGGCAGTGGGGTGGGGGTGGCTAGCCCGTTTAAGTTTGGGAGGAGGGGCGGGGGGCGGGGGAGCGGGGCGGACAATATTTTCCGGTCGTTTGGCTCTCCCAGGCCCCCGCCCCGCCCCGCCCCGCCCCGCGGTAGACGGCCCCAGAGGGCTCCTCGGCGTCCGGTGAGGCCGTTAAATTACTTCTGATACGGCGAGGCGAGGAGTGGGGCAGAGACGGGGACGGGGAGTCACACACATGGTGTGATTATCTTCATATTGCACCAAAGGCCAGAGGGGCGGGGGCGGAAGGGAAGAGCGTCCGGGAGTTTGCTGAGGAGGAAACGGGAGGCGGGAGGGGGAGGGGGAGGGGAGGGGGAGGGGGCTGCGGCGCTGCGATGCGTTGCCTTTCGGACTTACCAATAAAGGCGGCCTCGGGAGGGGCTGCGGGCTGGAGGCGGAGAGGTGGAGAGAGACCATCAGAGCGCATCAGGCCATCAGGTTCGCCTTCGCCCCACCAAACGGTCGGCACGGCCAGCACGGCCGGCAACGGCCCCGCCACCACTCCGCGCCAGGCACCGCCAGGCACCGCCAGGCACCGCCAGGCACCGCACCACGAGCCTAAGAGGGATAGAGGGTTAAGAGCCGCGATAAAAGTTAAGTTCAATCGGGAAAATGAAGGAGGCGGGAATCAGCACCTTTTTCCTCTCTCTCTCTCTCTCTCTCTCTCTCTCTCTCTCTCTCTCTCTCTCTCTCTCTCTCTCTCTCTCTCTCTCTCTCTCTCTCTCTCTCTCTCTCTCTCTCTCTTTCGCACACAAACTCACGCGCGCGCAGGCAGACGCAGGCGCTTGTCCGAAGGGGGCTGAATGCTAGAGAAAGCCCCCGTCCGCCGTCGTCGTCTCGCGTTGTTGTGATGTTGTCATTTTGGAACGGTGCGCCGCCGCCGCCTTCCCCTCGGAGACGGTCTCGGCCTCCAGCCGCCGCTTGCCGCTTCTGAAGCTGCTGCTGCACTTAACGGATGACAGCCCCCCTCCCCTCCCCGGCGCGCCCCTTGTTCCAGAGCCTTGTCCAGCAGCCCAGCCGATCCGAAGAGTCGTCCCGTCGCTGTGGCTCGCTCGCACCCCCGCGGGACGCTAGCGGGACGCGCCACGAGTGCGACAGAGACGGAGCGACGGACTCGGCCTGCAGGCCGGGCCAGGCCGAGGGGCACGGGCGCGCCTGGAGCGAGGCCTGGAGCGAGGCCTGGAGCGAGGCCTGGAGCCTCGACGCCGTCCCCTCTGCCCCCTGCCCCCGGGCCCAGCCAACAGCCAGCCGCAGCGACAAAGCACCTCTCAGCGCTCCAGCGCAAGGCCTGGCAAGGCCCGCAAGCCCCATGCCCCGGGCCTGGCCACGCCTAGCCCTTCCTCTTTTTTCCGCAAGCGCTTTTAGATTGTGTAAATATTGCCCTGCTTTGATGGCACAGCTCCGGGCCGGGCGGGCCGGGCGGGCCTTGGCGTGGCGGGCCCTCCACCCCATTCACTGGACCCTGTAGAAAGTAATGCCCGGGCCGGGTAGAGCCTGCACTGCAACCGGGCTCAAGCCTCGGCCGGGGCGGGGGGGCAGCACGGCGACTAAGCAGCCAAGCAGCGCTCTACAGTCTTATCTGGGCGATTATCAGCTCGGCACGACCCTAACGGTCTTATCTACACTTTGCGTTTCTTCAGCCCCGCGCTCGAGCAGCGCGCTCATCTGAGATATTTTGTCACTCATTTAGATGCACCAAATCCAAAATTAGATGAGTAATTTGTTTGTTGAGCGGCTGCGAGGGTGAGATGGGGAGCTTCAATCATAAACAAAATTTAAGGTTCACGTTGTTTTATTCAAAGGACACGTTTCACATCGTTTTCAGGTGCCGAGTGCGTCGTTTTTCAAACACAAGAAAAGGCCCGTCTCGGAAAAATCGGCAAAAATAATCTGAACACACACAACTGAAAATCAAGAGCCAGGTGCATCAGAAATTTTCAACCATACAAAATCAGGCAGAGGTAAAAAGTGAACAACCCGATGGTTTGTTTCAGTTTAACATAATTGGAACACTTGACAACTTCTTCCCAACAGATTTCAGGAAGACCAGCCTCTACAAATACTGCCCATATCACACAAAACTATCACAAGTAATTCAGAGAAACAAACTCAATAGTATAAGAGAAGAAAACGTTCACAAACCTACACTTTTAGAATTTCAGTGTATTTTTTTTTTCAATTACAAGTCAAAGTTAAGATTGTTGATGGGCACATGGTAACAAACTCAGAAAAGAATTGTTATTTCTAAAAAGGGAGAAAACATTTTCAAAATTGAAGTGAAATGACCTTTCTACAGAATTGTAAAATTCTATCTGAAATATGGCCCTCTATGAACTGCAGTGCAACAAATTATGCCAGAGTTCCATTAAATACAAGTCACATACAAAAAAAAAATCAATAAAAAAAGGACAACAAAAATGATGAACAATTAGCCTCTCCCAACAAACATGTCTCAGTTTTGTAGAAAGTCTAAACAACTATTCTACGTCTATACCTTGCTGCTTGCTCTAACAATTTTACGTAGAGTACATTTCTAAGGTTAATACAAACTTGGCATGCCAATGTACCATCAAGGCAAGGCACAAAAGACATCAACTTGTTCAGTTCTGTACTGATCAGGATTTAATAAAATTAAATGGTGAGAATGGTTCACCTTCCTTACAGTTAATAAAGTGTAAAAAGCTCACATTTTAAAAAAAATTACACGTTGAGGATTTGAAATATTTTTTTTAGGTGGTTTAAATTATTTTAAGAAACATCTAAATCAAAGATACAATGTCCATTCCTCAGTTACAGATACTCCTGGTTTTCTCACAACAACAACATTCCAAATGTCATCATTGGAATACTTCAAAGACTGCCTTCCAACACCTGAAATGCAAGTCAAATATTAAAATTCTTCAAATGAGAGAACTTTAAACAAAGCTAATAATTTGTGACAGAGAAAAAAAAAGTTCCGCCAAGGCAAGCTTAGCAAAGCGGTCTTGCCGTGGCCCGGCAGGCCGGGCAGAGAGGGGGCAAGGAGGGAGGGGGTGGCTGTGAGGAGTGGGGACTGGCGCGGCGGCGCGGCGGCGCAGGACGACGACGGACGACGGACGACGGAACCAACACGACCATGCAGTCCCCTCCGAGCGCGCTGAATAGATGGATGGATGGGATGGGATGGGATGAGTGGGATCGGATGCAGAGCTAGAAGCGGTAGCAAGACCGCTTAAAAAGTAACTTACTCTTGCTCTCAATAGTTGTCTGTGTTATTGGTTTGAGCAATCCTAAAACAACAATGCGTTCAATCCATGCCTTGGAGGCAAAGTGTGCCTTCTTGTCGATGAACCTAGAGAACAGAAGAATTCAACATTAACAAAAACAGCAATCAAGGGCAGCAGAGAAAAGAATGCAGCAAGAGATACTAACTTTGCTTTCAGAGTGTTGTTGCTAAACTCAAGCTGAATATAGAGGTAAGCATTGGACTTGTACTTGTAGGTTTCACCATCATCAATATACAGTGTTCCTTTGGCGTTGCCCTACAGAAATTTAAATTAAAGAAAACATTACAACAATGATTTTTAAAAAAATAGTCTCAGTTTGTCAATTGATAGTTGATTCTCACATTGTCATCCACAGCAACAATAATAGTGTAAGGGTCATTGTGCATCAGAGTTGAAGATCGGCGAACGCGCTCCAATTTAGAGAGAATGGTTCCTCCCCTCTGATAAACTGGAATCTAAGATAAAAAATAAACAAATTTCATATAAATATTTTTTTTAAAGGATACTGTATTAATGACAAATTACTGGGCACTCAGCTGTTTACCTTGGTGATGTCAACAGCAATATTATGTACAGAACGGCCTCGGAAAATTTCAAATGTATCAGTGTCATACCAACGCTCATTTTCTCCAGGGAAGAACACCTGAGCCTGTGTGGCTCCAGCTGTTACAACTGGGTGCACGAGCAGAGTATCACCTGAAGGAATACATTAATGAGAATGTAGTGTTATTGAACAAACACAAAAGCTGAAAGCACATACAACAGGAAAAACACAAACACTTACCAACTAAGAATTCATTGTCCACAGAGAAGCCATCTTTGTCATCCGGGTACTGAGCAAACAGAGGCCTAATGACTGGTGTTCCAAAACGAGTGTGTTCGAAGAAAAGAGTGTACCACAGGGCGATATAAGTGTAACGTTTACGAATTGCCAGTCGGACCAGTTCAGTGGTCTCTGGATTGTACAGCCAGGGTTCACGCCTCTTGGACTCAAGAATAGAGTGAGCACGATAGAATGGCAGGAAGGCACCAAGCTAATCAAAAAGATTCAAATATTAAATAAATTTAATAACCTAGAGAGCTACATCTTCAAAAGTAAAATTGAGGTTTATTCAGGTACTTACTTGGTACCAGCGAGTAAAAAGTTCAGCATCAGGATATTTAAAGAAACCTCCAACATCAGCACCACAGAATGAATAGCCCGAAATAGCCATAGTCAGACACATGGGTACAGACATGCGCATGTGACTCCAATCAGCAAGATTGTCACCAGTCCACATAGCAGCATAACGTTGGGAGCCAGCATAGAAAGACCGAGTCAAGATGAATGGGCGGAGCGCTCCTTGAGATCGCTTTTGCAACCCTTCATATGTAGACATGACCTATCAAGGGAGAAAAAGGCAGACAAGATGAGAATGCTGCCAGAAAACTCTAGCGTACACGAGACCAAGAAATTTAAGAATCATACATACCAGCATGAGGCCATACATGTTATGCACATCACGATGTTCCCATCCTCCATAATGCACATTGTCCTTGAACATAGTGAGCTCAGGGCCGTTAAAAACTGCTGGCTCATTCATGTCATTCCAAATGTGGACATCTAAAGTAGATCCAGCATAGTTTTCCAGCAAGTATCTATCAGAAAAGTATTCCCTTGTTGCTGGGTTGAAGAAATCGAGATAGCTCACAGAGCCAGGCCAACACCAACCTGACAAAAATGAACAACATGTGGTTCAAGTATAAGTATTATGAAGGTGGGGCTGGGGCATGCCCACTATAGTTACAGAATAAGAAGACTCACCTTCGTAGTCATTTCCATCTTTGTTTTTGACATAGTAACCATTAGCCTCGGCATCCCGATGCAAATAGTAGCCTGGATCCCTCTTGACATGGGGGTCCACAATAGTAACTAACTTTCGGCCCATGGCAGTAAGATTTTGAATCATCTCTGTGGGATGAGCAAACTTGATGGGATCCCAACTAAAATACCTGCAGCAAAAAAGCCAATCAGCAACATTAAACAAGGTCCAAAGGACTAGATAGTCAGAACCCAAGGAAAGTCAGACACTCACTTTTTGTTATCAGTGTGCTCAATATCCAGCCACATAACATCCATGGGAATATCATGTTCATCAAAGCCCAAAGCAACATTGCGAACGTCATCTTCATCATTGTAGTTCCAACGACATTGGTGATATCCAAGAGAGAATAACTAAGATATAAGGACAAGATATTAATAGAAACTAATAAGAACCTACTTTATTGCCAATATTTGTGTTCCAGAAAAAGATAGACTTACTGGTGGAAGAGGGGCTGTGCCAGTCAAGGCAGAGTACTGCCTGAAAACATCCAAAGGCTTGGGACCCACAAAGAAGAAGACATCCATAATTCCAGATTCGGACATAAAGTGAGTATCCACTTGAGGTTCCTGGCCTGATCCAGACACAAGGTTCACCAAAGAGGAAACAACATTTTCCCCATCAGGTTTGGTTACATCAATCCAAGTTTCAGCGGTGTTGAGCCAGAAAACTCCAGCAGACCCCTTGAGACTAAATATTTAGGTAGAAAGGAGACAGATTACAATAAAATTTGTATGAAAAATATCAAAGTGGAGCAGCAAGTATACATACCCATGAGCATACAAGACAGGAACTGCTCCATACAAGGACATGCCATTCTCAAGCTCATACTCGAACACATCCAAATTGAACAAGCGGTAAGGATCAATGCCCCTAAAAAAACATTAAGATATTGAATAAGACACAGTTACATGTATGACAGTCTAGTAAAAAATAAGATCTAGCTCACTTGGTATTTCGGAGTGCAACATAGTCAGCATGGAGAGGTACACCATAAGCCTGTTCAGCACCTGGGAAAGTGAAATCGAGCGCAACTGCAGTTGGCCCATTGGGCTTAGCATCATGGTGGGATTTGTAGTTCTCCTCCCATGAACCTGGGTCATTCTCTGTGTCATCCACAACAGGAGCGGGCTCAGCAGGAGCTTCCTCAGTGGCCTCTGGTTTCCTGCCAATCACAGACAAAATTTATTCATCATTCAGGTTAATTAACATACAAAAATCTCTTCTCTGTCAAGGATTGTGTACTTACGGGGCAGGCTTAGGTCTCAAGTGTTCAAAGCGCATGAGGCCACGAGCATTGGTACTGATAACCAACTCGGTGCCTCGGTATACATCAACACGGAATGGACTGGCAAAGATTTCAACTTTGTTGTGTCCGCTTTTAACCACAGCTTTTGCAGATGTTTTTTCTACCAGGTCCAATCTAAAACAAAAAAATATTTCTCGTTTTTGGAAAACAAACAAAATTTTACACTGTCGACAGACTGCAAGCAGCTTACCGCACATAGTTGGGTTCTCCGTTGAGCACAAACTGGACTTCATGACGAGGCTTTAGTGGAGACAATTCATTAATTTTCATTCTAAATGTATTGTCAGAAAGTGAATACAATTGGAACACAAATTTGACATTCATGGCTGTATTCAAAAGTTCTGCTGTCACAGAAGAAGCTGTTGCCTGCAGTGTATCTAGCTGAAGTTCGTATGGAGAAGCCCCAGGTGATACAGCACGGCATCGTCTGCAGAACACAGAACAAAAATATTAATCTGAATCCAGAAAGAAGGAAGGGATTTTAAAAAGTAACGCTTCAAGTGGTACTCACCGGCAAAAACTAGTTTGATCACAGGTACGGAAATTGTTTCTATCAACTGAGGATACATTGTTTAGGGATATACAAATGATAGCCAAGAGAGGCAAAAGAAGCCTGAAACAAAAAAACAAACAAACCTATAGAATCAAATCTGTCAAGAAACATTAAAAATTTCACGACTGTAAAAATTTGATGTACAATGTTAAAATATACTTTGAATCAAAAAGCATGACGGAACAGCAGGTTTAATCACTAACTCGCTGACACGAGCACTGAAGGTTTCCTACGTGTCCCTAACCTCAACCAACAGTCTCCTCGCTTTTCCAGAGGGTACTCCCGAGCTGAGGATACGAATGTGCAGTTAAAATTACCTCATCCCCCGAAGCACCACCATGTCGGGAGAAGGCGGACAGGTCGTCACGCAGAAATTCAAACGCGGAGATCGAAATGGCTAATCTTCATCGATGAAAAAGTTGCTTTTGAATGCCTTTCTCGTCCCCCCCGCTCCCGCTTTCTGCCTTGCCGGCGCATCAACGTGTGAGTGGTGGGGGTGGAGGGGAAAGGGAGGAGAGGGGAGGGGAGGGGGCACATCCGAAAAAGCCCCGTTGAGCCGAGGTTGAATGCGGCCAAATGCGGCTGCAGGGAAGTGCCCGATGGATCTTTTAACAGCATAACAGGGGAAACTAAGCCAAAGGAGTCAGGTTTTGGAGGGACAGCGCGCTGTCTCTTCGTGATGCTCTGGAGACCCAACAGTGAAACATTTCCCGTCGGGGCATTGCTGCGGGCTTGCGGGCTTGCTCGGTGCGCTCTGCTGGGGTATTTTTAGGGCGCGTCTGCTGTCGCGGTAAGGCAAAGCGCAAAACGCCGCCGCAAAAAACTGCCAAGGCCGCCGAGGCCGTCTTTGGCACCTCGCTGGCAACACGCTGGCAGATAGAAGGGACCCAAGCACTGCTCACGCGAGGGTATGAAAACGAAAGGAACAAACTTGGTTCAAATACTGTATTTTAAAAAAAATCATACAAAAATGCTTGTAATCAGTCCATAACATTTTCAAACGTATCAAATATTTTCAAATTGATTTTGTTCCATTCTGTGATCATAACAAAAATAAATAGATGAAATACAATTAACGCTCGTGGAACTGTTTCTCCTTCGTCTTGTTCCTGAGTCTGGCTTTGATCGCCGCGCCCCAGCCCACGATGCTCTTGGGGCTGCCGACGTGGACGCCGGGGTACATGTCCTGCAGCGCGGCGATGGCCGGCGTGCTGTTGCGGAGCCCGCTGGGAGTCGGGTCGAACTCGATGGACTTCAAGACGGGGAACTGGCCCGGGCGGCGCGTGGGGAAGTAGGGGTTGCGCTTGAAGCCGGGCATGGCCACCTTGCCGCCGCCGCGGTAGTCCAAGTCGCCGAACACGCGGCTGCTGATGTCCTTGTTGCTCACCATGGGCGGCACGATGAGCACGTGCTCCAGGGTGCGCTGGTGAGCGAGCGCCAGGGAGGCGACGGTGGGGGCGGACAGGGACGCCTGCAGGACGCGGAGGCCGCCGTCGTGCGGCAGGGCGGCCGGCACCACGAACGGGTCGCTGCAGATGTCCACGCCGAACGCCTCCAGCCTCCACAGCTTGGGCATCCGCAGCGTGGCCAACAAGTGCGCGCGGTCCACGTGCACCATCTGCAGCTCCTCCAGGAAGGGCGCCACCTCGTCCAGCAGCTTCAGCGTGCGCGGCGGGTCCATCTTGCAGGACAGGTTCACGATGCGCCGCACCTGGAACCCGACCCATTCGTCAAAACACCGCCATTTCCGCCACGCCTCCCTTCCGGTACTTCCGGTACACTGCCCGTACACTGCCCGTACACTGCCGGTACTTCCGGTAGCTCACCTTCGCCAGTTCCTTCGAGTCGAGGTGCGGGTCCCTGACCGGCGACAGGTCCAGCTCGTCACCCTCGTCGTCCTCCTCGGCGTCCTGCTCCATCAAGCCGAGCATGGCCGATTTGCTCTCGTCGTTGTCGTCCTCGTCGTCCGCGAAGAGGGCCACGTCCGCGTCCGCGTCAAAGAGTCCAAAGCCGAGGCCGCCGTCGTCGTCTTTGGCGGGGGGCTGGGGAACCTGGGGAGGGTCAAGACCAGAATTTGACAACGTCACGAACAAAAACCCCAAAAGGAGAAAGGCCGCTGCAACTCACCGGCTTCGGCACGACGTCCTCGGGGAGGCTCAGCAGGAGCTGCTGCACGGCCCACGCCACGTCGGTGTCCTCCGCGCAGCTGCCGCCCAGCTGCACCTTGGCGGACAGGCCTTCGGCGGACACGCCGTCGTACGAGACCTCCACCTCGCCGGACGACGCCAGCTGCGTCATCACCTCGTCGTCCTGGACAAGCACAGTCTGAGCTAGAGTCGAGCCCATGGTGGCACACTGCCGTCAAGCCGCCAAACAGCACGCGGCACTCACGTGGCGGTCCGCGGCGGGGTTGGGCTTCTCCAGGACGGCGAGCATGTTCTCCAGGTGCCGCAGCAGCACTTCGTGCCTGTGCCTCGTCATGCTGTGCAGGACGTGGGCGCGGTCGGCGTCGTCCTGGGAGTCAAGGCAGGCCTCGCCGGCCGCGGCCGAGCATGTCGCGCACCACAAGCTGAGGACGCCGGCCGAGTCGGGAGCATCCTCACTGCGGCCGAAGGGTCCAATACAGCAGACTGATTCCGACAGTCGTTTTCGTCGCTCTGTCCCTCTCGCACCAATAGAGGACGCCCAATGAAGAGAGACAGAGCGACGAAAACGACTCTCGGCACCAGCATGAAGCCAAATCATCTTGAGACAAACCACCAACCAATCAGGCGGTCATTCCCTCACACTACCAACCTCTCCGGCGGGGGAATCCTCAGCAAGCCGAGGGTGTACAAGTCGTCGGGCAGCTCGTCAACTGTTTTAGAGAACGCCTGTAAGAGACGCACATCGACATTAGCGCCTGTCCAAGTCTCACGAGCAAAGCGCTCTCGCTGCTTGTAAGATTGCGTAACACCTCGCCATCGCTGAAACACCGGTCGGCCGACTTGAGGCACGGCCCGCAGAACACGTCGCCGCAGGGGAGCAGCTTCGGACGGCGGAGCTCCTCGTCGTACCTCTCCCGGCAGCGAAAGCACTCCATCTGCGTCTGGAGGTCCGAACGGGAGGCCTGGGACAGAAACGCGACCCGTTCAAACCACGCGCGGCGCCAGCGACGCCAGCAGCACCCTCCAGTGGCGCCGGGACGAACTACGCGCCGATTGCGCAAGTGGCAAGTAGTGGCAAGTAGTGGCAAGTAGTGGCAAGAAGCGCAAGAAGTGTCAAATTCAAACGGGGAGCGCACAACTCACACAACTTGACGCAAGTCGTGCGTCTTTGAGCCGACTAGCGACGAGGCTGGAGGACCGTTGTCAATACCAGAAGACCGCCTGGCGGGCAGCGGTACGTACACCCAGCTTATCTGAGATTGAAGCTACAAGCGCAGGCACGGCGAGTTGCGGTGACCAAGTGCCCCGAAAACGAGACGCTCTGACACATGCCGCCTTCGTCGTCGCGCTTCAATTCCAGAGGTATTCTCGGAAGTACTCACTTGAGCGACGCTGTCACGCTGTCGCGCTGTGTCCGGCCGCGTGCGGCGTTTGACAGTGGCTGCCCGGCCCGCGCCTGTGCCTGCCTCGAACGCGGCCGTCTGTTATTCACACGTCAGCCATGCTTATCTGCAGGGTGGCGTGGGAGATGGGAGGGACGGAAGGGAGAGGTAGAGGAAGTGGTCGAGTGGTGCAAGTTTGAGCAAGCCTTTGAGGCTCACTTTTATCTGGCGTCCCTGCAATTTCGACGTTCCGGCCGTCCTGCGTGCAGCATTGCCAGGAGTGCGTGCATACTTTGTCAAGGCTTACAGCACTGCAGTAGCATTGCTCAAAGAGGTGAAGCCTTGGGTGAAGCAGCAGGGAAATCCAACATTACAAGGGAGTGCTGCTTTTATCTTCTCTCTTCTGAATGGACGGCGTTGCTCCTCTTTTTCAGATGGAGTGCCCGGAGTGTTTTGTCAACTTCAATGAAGTGGGCCGTCTTCCTAAAGCCTTGCCATGTGGGCACACCTATTGCCTGGAATGCCTTGAAGAAGTGGACCGCTGTTTCGAAGACCATAAGGTACAGCACATTTGAAAAAAAAAACATGACATTATTTTTCAGTGTGCCTTTAGTCACAGCATTCAAGGACTTTACTGTTAAACTAATTTTAAATATACATTTATGCCTAGAAATTTATGGAAATACCCACTGAGCTTCCGAACAATAAAAATGTCATTGCAATGATGCGCTCAAATTCCGGCAAAAGGTTTGCAAATACCCTTTTTTCTGCATCAATTATGGAAAGAAAGCCCTTATCTTTGTTTTTTTAATACATATATTTTATTTTTCAGTGATAATTGCCTATCTATCTGGTGCATGAGTTGTGAAGCTAAAGCTTCAGAGTGTTGCATCGATGTTGGCCACAAAGTTTGCAACAGGAAAAAGGTTTTGTTTGAACAAGCTCGTCAAAAGTTGCATCTATCTGAACAAAAGCTTGACCTCCAACATTATGAGAAGTTGGTGGACAATCTTGATGAGGTGCGGTGTTGTCTCTGTGGTGCTTGTCTTCACAATAAGTCAGAAATTACTATAACAGTGATGTTTTCCTTTTAGGCCAATGCTGCTCAAGCCCTAGAGTTGCTGTCAGGACCTATTGCTCCAATTGACGTGTTGCTGCAGGGAAAAGGGGTGAGGTGGAAAGCACCACTGCAGTTGAATGAAGCAATTGATGAAAAAATGGGAGATCAAAAGGCCAAAATGATGAGGTGCCTGCTGTATCTCTTGAAATTGGAAGGAACAATTCAGAAAGTATGAGGCTTTTGATACATATTTTCTTGATGGCTGCTTTAGGACCAATTAATTCTGCAATACTTTGGTTTTCTTCCAGGACCTGTATCTGCCACATAACGACAGAAGCCAAGAGACTCAACCAAAGGAAGAAATAGATCCTGAGACTCTGCTGGACCTAACAAATATCAGCAGTTGCAGGAATCTAGAGTCAGTGAAGGCTGACAAAGATGCATTGTTGGCATCTGACAGTTTACTCAAAGTGAAGCGTCTCACAGGCCTGTACTGTGATCCAGACAAGAAGTGGTCTTTGCAACTTCTGGAGCTGCTTGCACCAAACCTAGAGGAGGTTCACTTGTACCATTTCCACCTTAAACACCTTGAAGTAGTTCAAAGGATGCCTCAACTGCGTTGGCTTGTTTTGGAGAACTTGAATGATAAGATAAAAGCTGTGGACAAAGATTATAAAGTACCACCTTTGAAACATAAAAGTCTAGTGGAATTCCTTTGGTGTAATGTTTCTGGCTATAGAAACGAAAAATTGTGCTCAGATATAATTAAGTCATATGAATCATCGTTGAAAGTGCTACTGGCAGCAGTACCTTCTTACCATGGTAATACTGTGGAATTCTTTGATAAATTGAACATGCCTAATCTTGAGAATCTGTTTTACATTAATAATTATTGTGGAAATCAGAGCTGTAAGGAGCAAATGAATAGCTTACGTGAGAAATATCCCAATGTGTTTTGCTTCAAATGTGGAAGAACAGATATGTATGATTCATAAAGTGCAATAAAAGAAATACAAAACAAAGTTCTTTAATGGTGGAAAATTTCATGCCCAACCAATAGATTTCAGCACAGAGGAGATGAGACAATTTGTAAAATGATTTGAGTAATACCGGCTGCTCAAGGGTCAGAATTTTGAGGATCAGATTTTAAAAACAAAAAAAAAGTGATGTTACTTCACTTTCAGCAAGATACAGGATGTATTATTGATATCAAACTTAAGCCACACTTGTACAACAGTAGTCAACAGATGAGAATGTAGTAGGAAAATGAAATTACTTCTTAGCCTCCACCTTGGGTTTAACAATAGATGACATGCCCTCCTGTACACTCTGCATGTTCTGCTTCCAATTGAGAAGAATGTCCCTCAACTGAAGCCATTGGGGTTGTCCAAATGTTCTGTGCATTGTGCTGGAGATGTGGACCTTCTGAGCAGCCTGGTCCATCCTTGCACGAACAAGTTTGGTTTTTAGGACTGAAAGATAAAAATGATTTAGTTTGAAAACATGCCCCATCCCATAAGAGAATAGGAGTGTTGTCTTCCATTAAGGAGCAACATTATAAGAAAAAATGTACTTGAGCACTCACCATCAATGATGAAGGGTTCTACTTCTTCTGCTTTAAGCTGCAATTCCTCTTGAATTTTCTGGAATGACATTTCCTGAGAGTCTTCGGCAAGTTGCATGAATGTGAGCAGCCTCATTTTCTTGAGGTTTTGCTCATGGTTCAGTCCTGTAATATAATTTGTGTGAATGTTGATAACTTGCAGAGTACTTTGGCTAGATCAAAACCCATCAGGCTTGCACTTACCAAGTCCATTCACAAACTCTCTATGACTGTGGTAGAACTGTTGGTAGCTAGTAAGCTTCTCAGATACAAATACTGACAGTAAGTCATGAATCAGCTCGCCCTCCAAAAAGCGTACAGGCTTCAGAGCAAGAAGAGGATCCAACAAGAAAGTTTTGGGGTCAGCTAATGCAGCCAATATACAACGCTGGGCATCTTCCCTGGCCTGTGAAGCGTTCTCCGTCGTGTAGGTGCCTAGCAGTTCAACCATCACCTTGGATGCCTGTTCACTGAAAAATTTAAGAAACAACATGAGTTTCTAGCCAGCATTCTCAAAATATTTCCCACAGTAGAATACTGTACCTGTTTTTGCTGGCAAGGAGAGCCTCATGGAGTAACCGAAGAAGCTTCTGCATTTGCTCATTAGATGGCGGGCAGAGAGCAAATTGAGACTTGAGGTGCGTCACGTCTTTGAAAACATGCCTCATTTGATCTACAGATCGGGCAATTTGCACCAAATGGAAGTAGACGTGATACCTCATTGGGCTGGCTTCATCCAAAGACTGGAACAGCAGCCACATCCTGTAACAGCAAAAATCTACCTTCAGCACAGCACCATGAACAATCTGAAAGGACTGTTGGCCTAATCAATGGTGCTGTAGCCCATTCTGATAGCTCTCAGGTTAACAATAAACTTGAGTGCCAGTATGAAGAGCAAAATAATTTCCCTTCCTCATGAACCCCTCAGCTACTGTAGCTGCTGGTACTATTTAAGATGAGAAAGGATGATAAGCAGTTCATGCCACAGTAGATGGTCTCAACAAGGTATTGTAAACAAACTCACTTCAAAAAGTTAATTTTGATAAGAGGGATTAGTTTTCCAACCAGGCATTAAAACTTTGTAGCCCATTCTGATACCTCTCAGGTCAACACAAAATAAACCCATGAGTGCCATAATGAAGAGCAATATATAATATTCCTTCCACATAAACCATCAGCTCCTGAGGCTGCTTGTTAGTATTTGTAAGGATGATGAGATAATCAAATCTTTGTAGCCCATTCTGATAACTCCCAAGCTAAAACAACTTGAGTGTCAGTATGAAGAGCAAAATCCTATTCCTTCCCCATAAATCCTCAGCTGTGGAAGCTTTTGGATTATGTCCTTGAACAGAGGAAGGACCAAACCCACACAGAAGATAGTACATTCTCATAACATTTGCACATAATGTTTCTTTCTCAGTATTTGAAAAGGTAATAGGATGATGAAACATTTGTAGCCCATTCTGATAACTCTCAAGCTAAAACAACTTAAGCGTCAGTATGAAGAGCAAAATCCTATTCCTTCCTCATAAACCCTCAGCTGAGGAAGCTTTTGGATTATTTCGTTAACAGAGGAAGGGCCGAACCCACACAGATGACAGTTCAATATAATAATATTTAAATAAGACATGCCTAAAAGGCAAAAACACTGTTGGCATAAAAAAATTGAACGTGCAAATCCAGTAAGAAGCACGTAAAAAAAATGTGGTCAAAACTTACACTCGCAGTGTCACCATCTTCAAGTTTTGACCTGAGGCTTTGATAAGCTTTTCACAGAATGCTAGGACCAAATTCTCTGCTCTTTCCAGAGGAACCTGAAAATATTGAATTTCGATAAATAAAAGTTTACTCCACTCTCTGAAAGGGGAACCACAGTGACCATGATACTTACGGTTACTAACATAGATACAATTCCATTTAAAACACTTTCAATCTCCTGTTCTGTGGCATCCTTGAAACAAGTGTCGCACACACCAATGATTTTATGTAGGTCATCCTCAACACCCTTGGGAGATTTCTCTGTCGATATTTCCGCACCCAGACCATTGAGGTAAGTGCGCAACTCCTGAGCCTGCAGAAATAGAAAGTTATAAATGAAGCAATAATCAAATGAATGACCAAACACAGCAATTCACAGCAATTCATTCAATTTAATAGTCATAAGTTGACGGAATCTACACATTAATACGTGGGAACAGTTTTCATAAAAATTAAAAATATGCCTGAGCTCATACAGATTATAACCCTAGAAAGCGGCTGGAATGAGGTTAGGTTTTACTAGATGCTGGTATGAGGACTTATGACAGACTTTTGACGAGTATTGGAACGGACAGTTAATGAATCACACAGTGGTGTGACCCGCCTGTCGGAAACGTGCAGCAGATTCGAAAAATATGAGCTAGCGCCCATCCTGGGCACGTTGTCTCCGTCTCGAGAAGAAGCAAGACCGAAATGTCTCGGTTAAGTTCGACTGAACTACACAAGAGAATATGAGACGGGTGCTGGGATGATAAGCAAAGTGAAATCAACTTACGTGTTCGTCGAGGGCTAAATCTATGAAAACGAAATACATTTTGCCGAAATTGCAACCACAATAAGACCGGGGCACGAAACAAACAGACGGGACGAAACCGACCCGACAGCCGACGGACTCGTGGATTACGCCTTGTAGAAACAGAACCGAGTTCATATCCAAAGTTGCCAACAGCATCGCTCGAAACTCGTCTCATCGGGCCAAAGTTCTCTTTGATATAGTTTTGTTTGTATAAATCTGAGATGAAAATTTTTTTGAGTTGCTCAGTTTTAAAATGCCAAACGATATGAGCGCAAGTAGAAAGTCATGACTGGAATGCATTTTGATCCAGCAGTTTGTCGGGCGAGTGTTTAAAGTGTGGACGGCGCGAATGCATGTTGTTTTTGTTTCCTCGTCTAATGTGCAGTTTGGAGTGTATATTGAGAAATCTAAGCATGGGTGTGTGATTGCTGGTGGCGCAGTGTAACATTCGAAGCCCAGTTGTAGAATGCATTCTACGCAAGAGGCAGGACACTGATGTCCTCAATGCCTTTTTCGTAACGAGTTCGAGTTACTTGTGTTTAGTGAGTGTGTCAGTCTTCCCGCCTGCACTATTGAATGCAGAAGAAAGGAGAGGTGATCGTTGAATCTAGTTTTCGTCCATTTCACACCCAGTTTGCAAAATGTCGAAGGTGAGTTCTTCAATGCTTTACATAGACTTAACCATGTCCGAATTGGCAATTTGGTTCAACACTTTTAATTTGTCTCACATTTTGGAATGTATAACCTCTAAACAAAGCAATGATTCCATCAGCTATGGCATTATTTATTCTGTCAAAAGAGGAGGAGAAAAAATTTGCTTTGCGAAGCATGAGAAATACTCATTTAGTAATAAATTTCTTTTCTAGGATATCCGTTCTTTCTTCTCCGTCCAATCTTCCAAGAAAGGCAGTAGTACGTCAGAGGTGAAGAAGAAGGATGCTCAATCAAGCAGCAGCAAGAAGAAGCGAAATGTCATCGAATCAGATTCTGATGAAGAGGTGTTCGAAGTCAAGAAGAAGACCAAGAAATCTCCTTCACCTGGTAAGGCAGTAAATTACATTTATCTTATCTCTGTCCTGCACCATACTTTTCTAATGCACTAATGTCAACTCATTATTCAGACAAGAAGAAACCTAAAATTGAACCGAAACTAGTGAGTGCTGCTGATATTTTTGGATCAAGCACTGTGAAAAGAACAGCTCGTGAAAACTCCAAGAAAGTAAGTTACTCAGTAACAGCCCTCTTTTGAGCTGTCATGTAAGACCTTTATGTGAAAGGTGTTGTCATTTTTCTTTGCAGAGCTCTGAATTTCACAATGACCCAGATTTTGACAAAGCCTTACAAGATTTGGATGAATCAAACTGGATGGACATTGACTCCAATAATGCAGTCAAAGAGACCTCTCAACTGAAAGCAGGCAAAGAGGCATCTTCATCTAAAGCAGTCAAAGAAGCATCCTCATCTCATGGGAAAGCTGATTCATCTCCTAAAGGACCATCAAAGAGTCCCTCTAAGAGTCCTTACTTTTCCAAAGAAAAGGTCGTTTCAAAATCATCTGAGGAGAGAAACTTGAATGCCTTTCTGGGAAAGCCAAGTACAGTTACAGAAGATGACAATAAGTCCAATGTTAAAAAGATTAAACTCGAAAAAGATGCTGACTATGTTTCAAAAGCAAGTCAGAAAATTTCAGATAGTAGCCCCATTAAGATCAAAAAAGAAAAGGAAGATAAGGAGATAGCTCTGGTCGTTAAAAAGGAAATACAAGAAGCTGGGCCTTCTAAAGTAAAAATTGAAAAGAAGTCTCCTGAGACTTCTAAAAATCAGCCTAAGAAAGTGGAAATAGAGATTCCAGAGAAAGATACGAAACCAAGGCTAGAGCCCTCTCCTCCATCTTACATGTGGGTAGACAAGTACAAGCCATCTTCAATCAAGAACATAATTGGTCAGCAAGGAGACAACAGCAATGTGAAGAAACTCATTCGATGGCTCTCTTCATGGCACTCAAATCATGGACCTGGAGTTAACAAAAAGCATAATCGTCCAGGTAGGTTAAATTAAAATTTCTTTATCTTCATGATTTTTCCCAGTGATTTGTTTTTAACCTGACCATTCTTTCCTTCAGCTCCATGGGCGAAAGATGATTCTGGAGCATTCTTCAAAGCTGCCTTGCTGTCAGGTCCCCCTGGTGTAGGTATGTGTCACATTTTTGTAGTGATCTTTTATGTGAAAGTTTCTCTAACCCTTCCAACCATGGTCTTCTTTTCAAATTTTTCTTTTTTAAATTTTAGGAAAAACAACAACTGCCCATCTTGTTTGTAAAGAAGTTGGTATGGATGTGGTAGAATTTAATGCATCAGACACACGGTCACAAAAACTTATGAGTAAGGAAGTGAGTGAATTGCTATCTAGCAAGTCTTTACTTCCGTTTTTCCAAAGTAAGTTTTCGCTTGCCATATCCACCTCTACCTAAAAAAAATTTGCTAATTTCTTTTAAAATTATGTTTTCTCTTATAATCTAGGTGGTGGAGATTCCAAAACATCTGAAAGACATGTTCTGGTGATGGACGAGGTTGATGGAATGGCGGGTAATGAAGATAGAGGTGGCGTTGCGGAGCTCATAACTCTAATCAAAAACTCAAAATGCCCTGTCATCTGCATGTGCAATGATCGTAATCATCCAAAAATCCGTAGCCTCGCTGGACACTGTTTTGACCTCAGATTTCATAAACCTCGTGTAGAACAAATTAGGGTAATAATGAAATACCTAAGTGCTACTTAAATCTATGTCTTATCAAAACACATGGTTTTTAAAAAATTTATTGATTCTTTTCCAGGGAGCAATGATGTCTGTGTGCTTTAAGGAAAAAGTTAAGATATCACCCCAAGCTTTAGATGAAGTCATTGCTGGGACAAACTTTGACATCCGTCAGATACTGCACAATCTCTCCATGTGGAGCAGTACCGAAAAAGTTCTGAATGGTGATCAAGTAAAGGCTGATGCCAATACTGCGAAGAAAAACATCAAACTGGTGTGTAAACCCACCCCACCTCTTATATCACTTCTGTACAGTTCACTATAATATTTAATGATACTATACTCACTTTTCTTTTGGCTTTTGTTCAGGGACCATGGGATGCTGTACGCAAAATATTTTCTAGTGATGACCATAAATCTATGACCATAATGGACAAGTCAGATCTATTTTTCCACGATTATAATCTTCTGCCCCTATTTGTACAAGAGAATTACCTCAATGTTGCACCTCATGCTGCCAAGTAAGTGTGTGCTTTTTTGGGTTTTGAGTCATACTTGTCATAGCTTGGTCTAGTACAGTAAGATTTGTTTTTTTATTGAAGGAAACAAACCGATACCTTGCGTCATATTGCAAGGGCTGCTGCAAGTATCAGCTATGGAGATTTGATAGAAAAGACTATCCGAAGCACTAACAGCTGGAGCTTATTGCCAGTTCAGGTTGATAAATTTTACAGTACCTTGATTGTTGTGTTATAATGATCCAATTGTCTTAACTATAACTTACTAAATTGGTGGAATTTTCTTTACTTTTAGGCTATCTACTCTAGTGTGGTTCCTGGTGATTGGATGGAAGGTCATTTTAAAGCTCAAATTCAATTTCCCTCTTGGCTAGGCAAGAACTCAAGAGGTGGTAAAATGAATCGTTTGATTCAAGAATTGCAACTACACATGCGGCTAAGGTGCTTTATTTTACTTAATGACACTTCTGTTTTAATTGATTAAAATCTTACTGATCAATGTTTAATATCATGTGATTGTAGTATTTCTGGAGGAAAAGAAGCTGTAAATCTGAACTACCTGGAGCCTATTTTAAAGGCAGTAATTCACCCATTAGTTGAGGAAGGTTCTCAGGGAGTACCTAAAACTCTTCAAGCCATGCAAGACTATTACATTACTAGGGATGACCTGGAAAGCTTATTGGAGCTGAGCCGGTGGCCCGGTCGGCCTGACCCAATGGCTCCAGTTGATAGCAAGGTAACTAATTATCAAACTTCTTAAGTTTCAAGCAAGTGTTGTTGCACTTGTTAACTGTTAAACCTTTGTTTAATTAGGTAAAGGCTGCTCTAACAAGGGCATACAACAAAGGTGGAGTCATGACTCCTTATGCCCTGGATGCTCCCATAAAGAAGAAGAGAGCCACAGGAGGAGGGGAAGAAGGGTATGAAGAAGAGGAGGGGGAGGAGGGTAGTGCAAGTGAATCTGAGGATGATGCAGCTGATGCTATGATTAAGGTATTTTTCAAATCTCTTTTTGGTCTCCCCTATACTCTCTAGAAATGAATTTAGTAATTTAGATTTCAACTTACCCTAATTTTCAGGCCAAGAAGATAGAGAAAAAAGATAAGAAAGATGCACGAGGGACCAGTGCGTCATCAAGTCAAGCCTCAACCTCGGGTCGAGGATCCCGAGGAGGTGCAAGAGGCGGCAGGGGCAGGGGAGGGGGAAAAAATGAGAGAATCAGACTGTCACAAGAGTTGTCTCTTTTGTCGTCAAAATGGTGGTCTCCTGCATCCTTAAGTGTCAATGGTTATCTCAAATCAGGTGCTGTGATAGCATTTAATTTACAGTTATTTTTAATCAGAGAAGATCAAACTTGCATCTCATTTTAATTAACAGAAATGATTTTTGTTGATGAAATCCATTATTGCTGAAATTTTCTTCTTTCAATGTTTGCACAAATATTAAATTTTTTAAAGTGACCAATCAATTTTTTTTCAAAGGTGGAAAAAAAAACATGAACCATTCTATCAACACAGCTAGAACATTTATTTCAATTGAAATGAGTGATGTAAACACTGCTTATAAGCCATGAAGTTGTACAAGACACCTTTCTGTAAACTTAGTCTAAATACATCTGAATAGAAAGGTCCCTCAAACCCCACCCCTCCCAAAGATGTTAAACATAATACATTTTTGATATAATAGCTAACCAAATTTTCAGTTTTCATTTGAGACTGTGACATAACATTCAGGGGCCATTGCTGGTCTACATTCGGGCAATACATCTATTTGCAGCAAAAGTACAAAAGCAGCAGCAAGACTAAAGACAGCACCTAACTAATTGAGAGAACATAAACAAGACAAAAATGGTTGGGTATGTTGACAAAGTTATGTGCAGTGTTCAGTCAAGCTTAATCCAGACTCATTAGCACAGTCAAACCAGCTTAAAACATGGGGAAAATTAGGGTCCCATTTCTTGGTTAAGAGAGAAAACCATGATCTTTCCAACGGCACCCTCCTTGCATTCCTCTACAGGCCGCACACAGATATTATGGTTAACCCATCATGGCAAAGAACAAAAATTGAACTCATGTTTCAAGCAGGTCCCATGCAGTACTATCAAGTAAAACCCAATTACCGTATTGACTGATAACATTAACGCTATAAAATTTGGGTTTAGATCAACTGTTTGTAGAATGTGTCTACTTAACAAGAAGTCCAACACTAAACAACTTGGTAATGAGATAATAAGTTATAACAGTAACATGACATTACTTTACACATGATGGGTGAGAGCTCACCTGCATTCTACTTTGTACATTTTAAGTTTTAAAATGGTCCTCATTGCTGCAGTGATTTCATATACAACCAGTATTGGCATTAAATACATCCTGCAACAACTGTTTCATGACATAGCAGTAATTGAAAATGTCAAATTGGAGTTCCTTTCAAAAGCTTGAAACATTGGTTGAGTCACATAGGCAAGCTGTAAAAGAACTTGAATTTACACATTTCCAGGTGTCATAACAAAACATGCCAAATTATTGACAAAATTCTGAATATGATAGGTACTAATGACTTATGAATAATGTTCTTGGCAGGCACTCGTGCATCTTAATTTACTTAAAACCATAAATTTTGGAGGTACACCCAAGTAGCTGCTCTAAAGAAAACTCATAGCAACATGAAAATTCTTGGCCACATACCCTTATCTTATGGCTTATCTGTATATGAAGTGCAACACTTACACATTAACACACAGAATATACAAAACCACACACACACACATGCACTCACATGATTATGGAATCACAGCTTTCACAAATATTGACCAGTCATAAACCCAATTCTAAGAAGAAATTCACAAATCACCCAGCAGCTGAACTTACTTGAACAAAAGACATCAGAAAAACTTAGTTATTGTTTGTGCAGAGAAAGAAGGTAGTGAATTGCAGTCATGATATGATATGATAAAGAACATTTGAACATGACAGGGAAATTGGAGACTGGGGAGACCCTCTATAAGAAGCCACATCATTAGCTATTCATGCAATTAAAAAATAACTGTAATATGGGGAACAATGGGGGAAATTCACAGGTGCGGATCCAGAAACGGGTTAGGGGGGAAGAAAGGGGGGATGTCGCAAAAGTTGCCTACATACAGTGGCAATGTGTGACCCCCTGAATCCGCGCCTGGAACTTCTAGCCCTTCCCATTTGCAGTATGAATGCAACCAAGATGATATTTAAATATAAACTGGTAGGGTTAAAATTTTGAGGGAAATGCCATGACAAAGTTGAAGTAAATGAACAGCTCTCATAGAACTGACTCTTGTCTAAGCTGTGTGATGTCACTAACATGAAATAATTAATACTTCACAAACATATTTCCTACAATAGAGATTTTATAACCATATTACACTTACATAACTTGGAACATTTTAGGTATGCATGTTATGTCAATACAGAAATAATAATAATAATAATAATTAAAAGCTCTCTCTATATAATTAAATACCAATGTACAGGCAGCTAACAAGTAATCAAAAGATAAATTTCACCTAAAACAATATGTAAAATACGTTTTTAACACCATTGTCACAAAATAAAGTGACTCACTACTCCAAAACATTTCCAAAAACACAGGAACTTAACATATCCAGACTTAGGGAAAATTTCAAATGTTCAAATGAAAAGATGACAATATGTTTAAATTTGTGGAAAACAAATTAAGACAAAATAAAATATTTCGTAAAAAAGGTGAAAAAAAAGTATTTTCTAGTCTTTGGACTAAGTCAACAAACCTTTGAAGAATTATGCTTCACTTCACAAAAGTTAAAATAAAATTTGTACAAAAATAAGAGCAATGTGTTTTGCAGGGAATAAAGTCACAAGACACCAAAGAATGGGAAGCAAAAGAAAACTACACTGATACAATGTCCACATCATAGACCATCATTTCCAATAATTGGAAAAAAAATATTCTCCAAATACAGAAAAACCAAAGTTATAACACACAAAAACACTCAACGGTAAGCAAGAGGTCTCATCAAAATTGTTTCATTGGTCCTTTAATCATAGTTGACACAACAGAAAGTACTTAATGATGAATTCTGGTATTGTGAGACCATTTTAAGGAAACAAGACTAAACCTTCTACATGCAACAACCCATTGGTCACAATGATTGTGACCATTGTGAACATTATCTGATCTCAATCACAATGCGTCCAATCATGGTGCAAACTTCCACAGGCACTGAAGAGTACAAATTCACAAATATCAGTGTGAATGCACTTCAATACCTCTGCAGTATTAAGGTGATTCAAAATCTTATTTTGAATTCGATAATGCTGCAATTGCTGTTGGCTACACAATTTAAATTGGTACATACAATACTTGAATACAAGGACACATGAAATAAATTTTAGAAACCTCTTACAACTGACAATTAAAAAAATAAAGCAGAAACTAAAGGTACAGAAAACAGTATTGGAATTCAAGAAATTGAAAACTCCATGGCAAAAACTGGAGCCCAGGTAACCACATGCTCTTATTATCTTAATCTAGAACAACACTTTAAAACTCTACAAACAAGGATTGTCAAACTTAGCTCCCCTAGTCATAAGAATGTCATCATAAGATGAATTTTGTTGGAGCTCCATAACATGGTGTTTCTTCAAAACCAGCATAGAATAAAACTTCTGGGCAGCCTGTTCAAGATAGTAAATTTAAACATTAGATTTTAATAAGACTTGAGATTAGAATTTTAATAATAAAACTTAAGTCCTATCAATGAGAACCTTACCTGTTTGCGGTTGTTCCTGTAAGTCATTTCTGACAAATAAACACCTGCACCATTCTCCTTAGTTGCTAACTTTGTCTTGATCACAGAATACATTTGGGCAGCTCGCTTGTTTGTTACCCTCTCTTCAAACTGTTCATAGGTTTCGTCACCCTGCTGCTCCTCTGGCTGAAATTTAAATGTTTTAATTAGACAAACGTTTTATACTAGACAATGAAATCTCTGAATACAGGACAATATAAAGAACAACTAACCGGTCCAGCAGAATGGGGAAATTCATAATCATCGTTGTTCCAGGGTGTGTTGGGACCTCGTTCAGAGACAGCTCCGGGAGTCATAGCTGGCAAGTGATGATCTGAATGGTCATAGCCCACATTTGCCATGTCCTACAGAAAACAGAATCAGACATCTTGTTACACAATACCATGCACGTTTGATATTTGAAGCAGAGAATGAGCTTTAACCAACGCCATCACTGACCTGATGATCATATCCGACATTTTCCATCATGGCTTGCTGCTCGGCTGTCAGGTCTGGCTGATGAGGTCCTGCTGGTGCCACTGGAGTCTGCATTCCTAGTGACGGCTCATGCTGACCCAATAACATGGTCATCTATGGAAAGAGATAAGGCTTTAATTGCAAGACAAGAAAACAGTATTGTTCCCTTCAACTAATAATTTAAAAAAAAAGAGCCTTACCTGATCAATGGGAAGCTCTGGGATGTCATGATCCAGGTTGGCTGCAGGTGTGTTAGGATCTAGATAGGGTGGTGGAACAGAATTGTGTGGGTCCATAAACGGTGTAGAACTGTGGTCAATGTATGATGGGTTCAAAGACATAGGACCGGGAGTCTGAGGGTCAATGTAAGACTGAGCTACAGACAGAGGGCCTCCTGGGGTGGCACCATCGATGTATGGTGGAGGCATAGACATAGGCCCACCAGGTGTTTGATCTAACTGTCCTAGTGGAGTTGGTGGTTCCATCATGCTACCATGACCACCCATCATGGAGCCTTGCGGTACCATATTACGTAATTCATCATCATCTTCAACAGCCCGGCGCTGTGCAGCAGGAACCTGACACAAAATCACAATGAAAATAGTGCTGATTGTAAGAAAAACACTCCTTTGAGAGCGGAGAATTCAGCATACCTCTTCATGGTCGATTTTGCGTTTGCGTGATGCCCTTGTTGTCCGTGCCGGTTCTGGTTGAGGGGGAGGAGCGAGTTCATCCATACCCTCCAAAGGAAGAGGATCTCTTTCTAAGTCAATGTTCTGGTCTTCAGCAGTAATAGTTGTTCTACTAGTCAAATGTCTCTGATAATTCTGCAGAGGATAATAAAAGAAATTGATCAATAATTAAAAAACAACAGCTCTAGCTACACATTGAGGTAAATCTCTGAATCTTTCACGGACCTTAAAGAGACACCGAGCAGGAAGAGAACGGCCTGGCAAAGCAAACAGCTTTTCAACACCTCCAGTTTCCTTCCAGTGCATCAACCGCTTAGTTGGGGGAGCCAAGTCCAATGTAGTCACAATGTCAGTTGTATCAGACAGTTGTGACTTCATTTCCTCTCCGGAGATATTCTTAGTCTCATCCACAATAAGTTTCCTCTTGCGCTTAGCCTTAGTAAAGCCTGAATACAAGAAATGAAATTAATATTCAGTTCAGCATAAAGGAATATTGCTAGGGAATGTATTGGTAAACACTTGAACAGACCTTTCAAAGCAGAGGCATCAACTGGAGCCAATGCAAAGCTTTCTTCTTCGTTTTGTAAAAGAGTTGTTTGCTCGGGCATACCACTTTCAGCCATATGGTCCTCTGGAAGATGGAGGCTAATGGTGTTGTCAACCATAGGGTGATGAATAGAGGATTCTAAATTTAAGAAAGCTCCATCAGGGGCAGTAAGGGCATCTGGCATAAGAAGCTGGTTGTCTGGATCCAAATTCCCTAGACCTGTACCAGGTCTGGAATCACCATTAGAGCTGTAACACAAGAGAATAAGAGGATGCAAAAGTTAAAAGTGCTCACCAAAAATTGATTGTAATATTAGTTTTTGGTTAACTCATACCTATCACGTCCCACAGATGGAGGAGCATCATAGTGGTCTCCCATGTCATCATCACTGTCTAGATCACGGCCAACAGACAGATCTTTGTCATGGAGAGGGTTGACACTTTGAAGAAGGGCATTGGTGTCTACTGCATCCCCAATTGGTGCATCATCAAATAGACCTCCTTCAAAGAGACCACCAGAAATAATATCTTGGCCAAGATTTCCACCAAAACCATCGTCTCGAATTGGAGCATCCATCTCAAGGGCTGATCGAATTGAGTGGCCACCCACAGCACGCAGGTCTTTATCTTCCAGATCCACAGGTGGGCCATCAGAAAACAAGAGATTATGCTGGAACATTAGAAAGAGCACACCAAGGATTAAGTATCATTAAGGGAAGTTCTCATTCATGACTATTGAGAGTGCACAGAATATTAATTTTAAAAGGCTGTACCTGCTCCAAAGATGGCTCCAAAGCATGTGGGCTACGCATGAGGTCAGTATGGTCAGCATCAAACGCACCCATGTCCCCAAATCCATCATCATGAGGAACTAGAGTAATGTTTCCATAATCTTCACGCATGGTGATTTCTTCAGCACGTGATTGATTTAGTGTGAACTGAGCTTCTATGTCTACATCACTGTAATGATCAAATGTGTTTTAAAACCACAGTCAACATGTGGGATAAAAAAAATATGGTATCATTGAAGAGAAAACACTGACTTGAGTTCTGGCATTGCGGAGTCAAAGTCATGAAAAACTTCTGGGAGAGTGATAGCAGTAACAGCTGCTTCTCTGTGTTCTTCAGGCAGATCCACCATACCAGGCCGGAAGGCCATTTTAATTTTGACGAAGGCCTCATTACAATCAGCTAACAAGTATTTGGCTTTGCGAGAGTATATTCTTACAACTCCAAGCAGCAAATGACCAGAGGTTCGAAGAGCCATTTTCACCTGAAAAAAGAAAAACGTATATGCAATGAATGAAACCTGGGAACCTCAAAACTGAGACCAAAACATCGAAGAGAATAAATTCAGTCAAATATAAACAGACATAGCAGCAGCCTTTATAGGATTAAGGATTAATGTGTCGTACCTTTGGTCTCAGAATACCGTCAACTGATGTTTCTATGTTGGTTTCGAAGACATGTGCCTTAGTGAGCTTTTTATCCCAATGTGCCGCTAACCAAATACGGGCCAGAGGGCCCTTCTTGGCCAACACAAAATGTGCGTAAAACATGGTGAACGGAGTTCAAAAGACCTGAAAGAAGTAGGAATGATAATAAAAGCTACAAATATGCTAATAAAACCATAAGATATTCACACATATCTACTAAATTTAAGCAAGGAGGGCAAGGAATGGGGACAAGTAAAACAACATTTTAGAGGCATGTCAATAAAAATATGTGTAGAAACAGTAAGGGTAATAAATTGGGATGTACCAACGAGAAGTCAAGCAGAAAATAAATTTGGTACAAGCTAGAAAAGTTTTCTGAGGTTAGATGAAAATAAACCGCAGTTTGTTGTTGCTTGGCGGTTTATTTGGTTATACGGCCAAGCCTGAGGTACACATCAATTTGGCGGGCCCCGCACTTTCTCGTTTTCCCAGTAATTAGATCAATCCAAACCCGACTTTATAACTTACTCGATAAAGATAAATCTATTCCAAAGGCTTAGAAACAAAAATAAACACCGGTGTTGTTGAATAACACGAAAACATTTCACAAATTTTCCTGCTGACAGGAGAGGGGCGACACAAATCGACACAAATACACAACTTCAAGATGGCGCCGGTGGCGGGGTGAAGCGGGGTGTGGTGGGGTGCGGCGTTGCCAAGCCCAACGTAAACCAACAGAAAATTCTCGTGGTTTTCTTTTTCGCTCGCACTGACCCGATAGTTTTCGTACCTCCCCGACCCGTTAAATTGTTTTACTTCCAGGTGCAGTAAGTGCGAGTCGGTTCACGAGTGTTGAAATATTCGGCGTCCCGGCGTTCATCGCGCCGCGTTGGCAATGGCGCAGTTGAATGCGCGTGGTGGGCGCGTTGCGTGATTGGCTGGCGGTCACGTGGCCGCGCCGACGCACCTCATTGGCCGGCCGTCTGTAACGGCTCGTTTTGGCAGTGTTTAAAATATTTGAAATAATCCTCAGTCACCCGGCGCCGGAGCCACAAGGACTGCGGTCGTTGGAGTCCGCCCAAGTAAGACGCCCGTTACTTGCGGTAATGTCTCGTGTTTGAACTGACGTTTCCTCAGTGCGTTGACTTTTCTGTCGGATATTTATCAGGTAAAGACAAAATGGCTTCGTTCCACATCCACACCGACCAAGAGAATCGGCCACCAGAACTTCGAAAGGCCAAGGATGTGTCTGCCAACTCGCAGGCTCAGCAAAAACGGACGGTTCTAGGTGTGATCAACGACAATGGGTCTCGTGCTGGCCAAAGTCGCGGCCTGAAGCCGGTAAGTCGGACGCCTTCCTGGTGCGCCGATCGTCGCGATTTCATTGTTTTGGTGCCTCCAACCAGTTTTGGCGGTCAGCCCTATTTCACCGGACTTTGGTTTTTCCGGTTTTGATGCGTCAGTGGGGTTTCCCATCCCTTTAGGCGACGTGGAGAGCCCCGCTTCTTTGTGGATTCTTTAACTTTTCTAACGCCTCCGGCTCTAACCGCCGTCTGTGATAGCTCTAGTTTTTGCGGACCCTATACGCTCATCTTGCTGTTGTGACCCTTCCAATGTTTTTTTTTTTTTTCATTGATTTGTCACTTGACGTGTGATTGAACTCTTATTTCGTCTCTTCTGTTTCAGGAGAAAAAGGGTACTTTTAAAATTCATGAAGATGTCGAAGACTTCAAAATCCATGAAGATGTTCCTGACCAGCAATCTGAACAATCCGCAGTCCTCGTTCCTGAATTGTCTAAGGTGTGTGATCTATTGAACTTTTGTTTGACACTCCTGATGTTTCCCAAGCTTGTTGCCAATCCCTCAATTTGTGGCTCTCTTGCAGGTGGTTGCCGCTGCCGAGCCCAAGGAAGATGAGTCATGTTCTGTGCTGGACGCAAGACCTGTTGTCGAATCTGCGGAACCTGAAGCAGATGTGTCCATGTCTGAAATTTATCAGTCTCCGATGCAAGTTGATGTATCTATTGTTGATTCATCACCAAGAACAAGGAGTAAAGCTGTGGCAGAGAGGATTCTTTTCGATATGGATGAGTACAGGGATGATATTTACGATTACCTGCTTGAAGCTGAAGTAAGTGTTTTTTTTTCTGATGGTTTTTGTTACCTGTTGTTAATGGGTTTACTTATAAAGCCTATTTGTTCAGACCAAACATCGCCCCAAGCCTAACTACATGCGTAGGCAGCCAGATATCACATACACCATGAGGACCATTCTTGTTGAGTGGATGGTCGAAGTTGCTGAGGAGTATAGATTGCAGACTGAAACTTTGTACCTTGCAGTGTCATACATTGACCGCTTCCTTAGCCTTATGTCTGTAGTCAGAGCCAAATTGCAGCTTGTTGGTACTGCTGCTATGTTCATTGCTGCGTAAGTTGAGTTTTATCTGTATCAGGTGTGTTTCTTTGAGAAGCAGTCAAATTACTATTGCTTTTTTTCTTTCAGTAAATATGAAGAGATCTATCCACCTGATGTTGGAGAATTTGTCTACATCACAGATGACACTTACACTAAGCGCCAGGTTCTGCGCATGGAGCATCTTATCCTGAAAGTCCTGGCTTTTGATATCTCTTCTCCAACTCCCCTAGTTTTTATTACTAACTACTGTGTATCCTTTGACTTCTCAGAAAGAGTCATGTTCCTTGCTATGGTAAGCCTTCTACCTGTGATATCATCTTCCTATTTTTACATTGTTAGTAATTGTTTTTAAAATTTTGCAGTACCTGTGTGAACTCTCCCTCCTGGAGGGTGATCCCTACCTTCAATTCTTGCCTTCTGTTCTGGCATCTTCCACCATTGCCTATGCCCGACATGCCCTGGGATTGGAGGCATGGCCAACAGACATTGCAGACAGCACTGGATACCAACTCTCCGCCCTCATTCCCTGCATAACCCACCTCAACACCACTCACGCCAGGGCCCCTCACATTCCCCAGCAGGCTGTTCGGGAAAAGTACAAGAACAATCGCTGGCATGGCGTGTCTCTGGTCAACCATCGCTTGATGGTGTTTAATGATGATGCACTTGTTGTTGAATAGGTTGTGATTCTTGTTGTTTTTTTTATTGCCAAAGTAACAGCTTTGTCTGCAAAATGTCGAGGCCCAATTTGAAACCTGTTTTCTGTTGCTGATATGTAGAGGCATTTTAAGTGCCTGTCTCACTTTTTGGTATGTCAGTTAACTTCTCTTAGGTATGTTTCGAGCTTACTCTTGAATTAGGCTCAACCATTGTGCCTTGTACTTGTAAGCTGTTTGGCAGATGAGGTATTTTGATATTTTGTACAATCTGTATTATAGTACATAATTTTGTATTAGTTTTTATGTTAAATTATTCCGATACATTATGATTGACATTGCTGACTTTAACATTTCAAACTCTCATTTTAATCTGTGATAAAACAGTTTCGTACTGTTAATCCAATGAAATCACAACATATTTAGTTTCAGAAATTGAATCACTCGTGCTCTTGTGTGTCCATTCTGCAATTTCGTTGAGGCAGTTAGTTCTAAATTTGAAGGGCCATCCCATGTTGTTTTTAATGTTTTACTTGGAAGTGGCACTTCAACTTGATGTCTGTATATTCTTCACCTAGTGTTTTAACTTGTTTTCTCTGCATTCCAGGAAAAGGTTTGTATTTTTCTCCAAGTACTTATGAGTTTTTAAAAAGTAATCACTGGAGCTTCTAATCAAGAAGATTCCTATAAATGTAGCTGTACTGAGAAGGCCATCTCCGCTTGATATTGTGTGTTGTAATGTAAGTTGTGATTGATCAAATTTCTGTTCGACCTTTGTATGGTCTTCAGTTTCTCACTGTGTGTTAATACTTGTCACATTATTTTACTGTTGAATGTAACTCCTGTGACATTTTTATTTAATTCCTAGCAGGCTGTGCATGCTTACTGCTGACTATTCCTCATTAAAAATTGACTGTATTTACAAAGTGTATTTTCAATCACACCCTGTCGTCCACCACTTCAAAATTCATCGTACACTCACTGCTGGCAGGTACATGTCATTCTGTTCGCAAGGATTTGTGTCTACACTCATCAGTCTGGACACAATTTGACAGCAATGACATTTGATGGAAATGTGAGGTGAGAGTGGAAGATTCAAGTTAGCTGCACCTTGGACGTTTGCGCTTTGCTGTAGGGGGGGAGAGGTAAGGTGTAATTTACACCTTAGGGAGAGGGGGGGGGGACTTGCAATAACAAAGATGGCGTTCAGACTTCAGACGACTTGGCGGAACGCGACCTAGCCCAGGGCGGGGGTGGCCTCGGTGGTGCGATGTGAGAGCGGGCCCCCTACCTTTTGCATTATTTTTAGTTTCGCTCAACTTTTTTATTTTCAAACTGAATCAACGTTCGTACTCTTAAGCACGAACAGTTTCTCGAAAATGGTAAGTGGCGCCAGTGGCCTTCCACTGCTGTGAGCGTAAAGCTCTTCGGATGTGTACTTATTTTGGAGGTTAGGTTCCGTTTGTACTGATTTTGTACGTTCAAAAATGGAGCGACTAAGTCCTGCCTAGATAGAATGGTAATTTTTTTCGGATTGCCTACAGATTGTTATGTTTCATTAGACAGAAATTGGCGTGCTCTTGCCTACCCAGCTGGAGCTTCCCTCTGTTGTTACTTCAGCCTGTTAGACAGCAGATTTTTCTTTCCAGATGAACTTACCCTTGTAACAGCCGTGGATGGGAAAGGAGTGCCTTTGGTTTTTTATACTAGTTGCAGCCTCAATTTTGTTTGCTATGGCTTGGAGGTCGCATGGGAAGACGAATGCAGACCTAGTTAGGAACTTGCGAGGTAAGTTACTTTTAACGCAGCTCCATATCAGTTGCACTGTTCTTTATGGACATGTCCTTATTTGTTATTTTCTTACAGCAAACAATATCATAAAAAGTGATGTTATTGAGAGAACTATGCTGGCAGTGGACCGTGGGAAATATTCCAAATCAAATCCGTATATGGATGCCCCCCAGGGCATCGGCTACGGTGTCACCATTAGTGCTCCGCACATGGTTAGTTCTTCATTCATGGTTAACAAGCTTTGCACTCTTGCATTTCTCTGTAAATCTCTATTTATTTATTTTCATGAGCACTGTTGTTGATTTCTAGCATGCCTACGCACTCGAACAGTTGAAAGACCATCTACGAGAAGGAAACAAGGCGCTAGATGTTGGTTCTGGCTCAGGATATCTCACTGTCTGCATGACTCTCCTTGTTGGGGAGAGGGGGCGAGTTGTAGGCATTGATCATATTCCTGAGCTAGTAGAATTCTCCCGGAAAAATGTTCTGTCTGACAAACCTGAGCTACTTAATACTGGACGTCTCAAATTAATCGGTAAATACTGTAGTAGTATTTTGGATGTTGCTGCTTCGCTAATACTATTATTATTTCTTGTTTGTTTTGAGTCACATAGGAAAAAGTTACTAGTAAAATATTCACATCAATGTTTTGTTTCTTACAGCCGGAGATGGCCGTGCAGGTTACCCTGAAGACGCTCCCTTTGATGCCATACATGTAGGAGCTGCAGCTCCAGTGGTCCCACAAGCTGTAAGTATTCAAGGACCTTTCCTCTCTACTGCTTTGGTTTTACTTTGATTTGTGTCCTTTAATTTTTTTTCCTTTTTCTTTCTAGCTGATCCAGCAGTTAAAGCCTGGTGGTCGTTTAGTTGTACCTGTTGGACCAGAGGGAGGCAGCCAAACCCTGGAGCAATTTGACAAGTCAAGTGATGGGTCGATTGTTCAGAAGACACTAATGGGTGTGGTGTATGTTCCTCTCACAGACCGAAATCACCAGTGTCCACCCAACTCCCAGCGATAATTTTGATAATCTCAGGATTGATAATACCTCAAATTTCTGCTTCAATTTGGACTGTTTGTGTACAGATAGAAATACAGTCCAAATATTAAGTTCATTTTATTTTTGGCTTCCACAATTTTATCTGTTAGGTCTGAAGAAGTCTATTTTGAGAATTGACTCCAGTGATGTTCAATCATCTCTTCCATTAAGAGATAATCTTTGTTTGTGAGATGTTCATAATTTTCAACATTAGACTTACTAGTCCTTGAGTACTATTACAATAGCTTTTTAAGAACACAGTTGTTGTTTTTTTTTTTTTTGTTTGGTTTTTTTTTTGTGGACATCCTCAATTCTGCTGCTTACTTGGTCACTTTGTTCTAGATATATTAAGCAAGTTTCTTGTAACTAAATTGAGACTTTTGCAATGGTTACATAAAACCCTCCTTTTCAATAAGCACTGCGCTCTAAAGCAGCATGCAAGTTTACTTCACTTTCCTCCAGTCTGGAAGGCCAGTTACTCTGGCAGAGAAGTTAATTGCATGCTGATTTGGAATGCATCAAAGAAAAAATATACATGTTAACAGTTTGTTTCAAAGGATTCTCATAAGATGTGATGTACTGAGTGCAGCAAGACCAAAGTTTTGAAGTGCAAAGCTGATATCACTCAACTAAATAACAGCAGTTGTTTAAAGCTGCGGATTCATATCTCATAGACATTGTGTGCTTTTGCTGGGTGTGCTTATTGTGTTCTCAAGAGCACATTTTTCCATCACTTTCAGAAGATTTCATAAGAAACCTTGTCACACTTGTGACAAGTTAGCTTAAGAGATAAGCTACTCAAGTCTTGGAAAAGTGCGAGCATGCCTGCAGGAGTTTTCTTATTTGTGTATGTTTAAGAGGTGTGGGCCCTTGGTTCCTAATCATATTGGTGTTGTGTAGATGGGTGAGGGAGGCATGTTCTTTCTAAAACTCTTCCCCCCCCCAGCTTGATCTGTATCACTGTCTATCCATTGATTTTAATAGTGTATGAATGAGATTTTAAAATTTTGTTGTCCTCACTCATTTTGAAGGCTTGATCACGAATGTTACATTTAAATTTTGTAAAAACTGACACCTTCTGTTGCTTTTACTTTGGGTTTGTGCCATTGTGTGTTTCTGTGATTACTTTTGCATTATTCTGCATGTATGGATGGATACAGTAGAGCATGGATGTGCATGCATACAAATGTGTATGTTAGGTTAAATGTTATGATGCTTAGAGTCAATGAATAGCGGTTAAATTCTAGAATGCTGACTGAGTTTGAAACACCACTTATATTTCTTTTCATAGTGTATAAAAAGTGCTTTTCCAAAAGAAGAAACTATTGACTTACATTTTGATTTTCTTTTTTTAAATTTTTTAATGGAATTATTTTTAAGCTCACACTTTCTTTTACTGTTTCTGTTAACCAATAAAATGTAAATTATAAAATCTTATGGTTTTGCTGTTATTTAATAACCTTTCCTCCTACACAACATTAAATTACACGTAATAAATATTATCTCATTTCTTCTGCTGTAAAATGTTAGTCACACAATTAATTCAACCCACACGAATAAAAACTTGGTATGCGTAGTAAAACTGCTGAATGTTCTGGTGTGAACAATTAAAATAAATACAAATGATATCTCTTATCAAATATCTCAATCTACCTATAAAAAATAAAAATCCATTCACAAAAATTGGGTATTAAAGTTATAAATTACTTTAAAAGGCACACTTGTTAAACCTAGTTGGTAACCATTAGGAATTCTAAAGATTTTAGTACCCGTTGTAAACTAATACTTTCATTTCCATGGGGGTTTCAACTGCAGATTAGAATTAGCACTTCCCGACGCCTGTGGAAGAAAAGAAGTGTCAAGAAACTTCACTATTGGATTTTGCAAAGGAACAAACACCTATTCAACAAAAACATACTTTTGCTCCAGACTGAGGCTTTTCTTCATCAAGTGGTGAATAGACTGGGTTACCAGGAGCTCTTTCCAGCAACTATCATAAGGAGCAAACAGAAAGGTTAGATGAAACACAGCAGTTGGCAGCGTTATCTCATGAACCAAATAGCAATGGCAATATCAAGACACTATAGCCTCCATACCATTTTGATGTACTTTCGGAGTTCATCATTTTCCTCGGTTTGGCTTGGTATCTGCTGAGTTGGGGTTGCATTTCGATGAGTTATTTGTCCATCCCGACTGAAGGGAGCTTCATCCACAGAAGACCTGCTACTGCACTGGCTCTGAGATTTCTGTTGTTGTTGGACCAGCATCCATGCTGTGTCATTACCTTTATCATTTCGGACACCAGGCTTCTCAGGTTTCACAGAACTGCCATTAGACCTTCCATTCTACAACAGAATAGCCAAAAGTAAGACTCACAAATAAAGTTGCAATTTAAAAAATACAAAAGAACCTAATGGTCAAAATTATAATACAAACACTATCATTTGGACTGCTGATAATATTCAATGCCTCTCGCCACTGGTTTTCCATAACTCCATGCAAACGCTCAGCAATTGTTGAGCTCCGTTTTTCATGAGCAGCGAGGCGAGTTTCCAATTCTTGAATCTGACGGGAGGCCTTAGTCAATTGGAGTTGCATGAGTCTCAGCTCTTCAGAATGCTTTTGTTCTAAGAGTGAGACTTCAAGTTTATGCCTGCAATGTTAACAACGCAAAAATATTATTCTCAAAAAGCATAGCATCATACCGGACTCTCTTATTTTAATCACTGTTATAAACAAAAAGAACAGCAAAATAATGATATATGAAACTGATCTCACTTTTCAGTCACATGTTGAAGTTGTCTCGCAGCAAGCTGAGCAACACTTCGTTCTCGACTTTCAAGTTCACGCTGCAGAGCTGATTCCGCTGTGTCTAGTTGACCTTGGAATTCTTTCAGTTTATCTCGGACAACACGCTCTAACTGTTTCTGGTAGAAGTCATGAAGCTCAGTTTTAATGCTCTCTAATTGTTCTGAGTTCTTTTTTAACTCACTCTGGAGATTTCTCTAAAAGAAAATTTGGTTAAAATTTCTCATTTCTCATTTTCTCATTTTTCTGAATAAAGCATGGCACTATAATTAGATGACTTCCACTAAGTACCTCTCGTTTTTTAGATTCATCAAGTTCTGCTCTTATCTTGTCCCTGTTTTGCTGTTGAGTATCTAATCGAGCCTTTTCTTCCTTGAGACGTGTCTGTAAAGTCGACTTTTCTTCTGCCAAAACAGCAATATTAGCTTCATGTGAAGTCAAAGATTTGGTTGCAGCATCCATAGCTGCCTGTAGCTTGGTCAGCTTTTCATGGTCCTGACGATCATGTTGGAGAAACAGTTGTTATGATTAAGTGACATAAGTTCTAGTGTTAGATGAGTTATAAAAAGTTATTACTGTTACACAGGGAGCAGGGAGCACAAATGATAAGACATTTAAGATAAAGGCTGCCATTAAGTATAAGTGGAAAAAATTAGTTAATTTTAAAATGTTAAGTGTTACATTCACCTCATTAATTTGTGCTCGAAGAAGCTCTTCTCTTTCCTCAGCTTCAGAGCAGGCAAGAGTTGCTGCGGCTAGCCTTCGTTCTAGCTCATGAGCTTTAGTTGCCAGTTGTTCCATTTGTGAACTATGAACCCGTTCCGCATTGTCACTTTGCTCTTTGTAGCCATGTGCTAGATCAAGGGCTTTAGATAGCTCAGTCTCATAACGTTCCATTTTCTGTTAGTTCCATACGCATAGCCAAGCCAAATTTAAAACTAATTAGGCAAAGCAGAAGCAGTTTTCTACTTCTTATAGATGAGATAAGATAAAAAAAAACAAGGCATGCTAAAATCAATGTCAAGACAAAACAAACTGACCTCCTGCATTTGCTTCAACTGACTCTCACTTCTCAACTTGTGGTCCTGGAGCTGCTTGGATAGGCCATGACGTTGGTCTTCCACAGACCGCCAGTGGTCAGCAAGGCTATTCCACGCACCCTGTAACTTTGCTATTGCTGCATCTTTGTCCGAATCAACTTGGACGGCAACAGCTAACTTTTGTTGGGATTCCAGAAGTTTAGTTTGAAGTGCTTGGACCAGTTGCTCACAGTGCTACAAAATATATATGGTATTACTAGTCGATTTTTACATGGCGTACCTAAATTATACAACTCATAATTTAGAAAACAATGAAAGAAAATTTATAATCAAGAACACAAACCTTGACGACGGCAGCGTTCCTCTTCATACTTTTGAAGTAGTTTTGTGTCAGCTGTACTCTTGGCTGCTGGTCGCTCTCCATCACTCCACAGCTCTGCAAGACTTGGTAGAGGTTTGGATGGCCTTTGAATGAACAGAAACAATTGTTTTCCAGCACCATTACAATAATAAAGTAAAGATTGTTTTTTTTTTTTTTTTAAAGCAATGAATTATTAGGATACATACACAATTTCTTCCTGTGAAACTGACCCTGTTGGGGGCAGAGCAGACCTCCTATTTCTGACAGCAGCTTGATCTGCACTTGATGGGAAAGAATCATGAGACATTACTTGGTGATGTTCATGTGAGGGCACGTCATCAATTTGTGCCTTCGGTTTGGCATGGGAATCCAAATCAAGTTTACGCCTCGAAGCAAAAACTTTGGGAGACTGCCTTGGAAGTGGACTGTTCTCAGATTGGAGCATTGTAGCAGTTTGGGGAGAGACAATCTGCTCCACAATGGGTTCACCAAGGGATTCTGCTGGTTTAGACTGTTTGGATGGAGAAGCCCATGCCTCTCGCACACCAAACCCAAGGTCTGGAATGGAACCCACATTTTCTCCGAGTTGATACTGCTTACGAGTAGTAGCGATTGGTTCTTCGATGGGTGGCTGGTATCTCTCTTTCTCAAGGAAACGGTCCACAGGCTTTTGACTCCTCTCCTTCTCAAGGAAACGATCCACATCCTTCCAATGCTCACGCACACCAAAACCAAGGTCAGGTATAGACCCAATAGTTTCACCTGGTTTGTGGACAATTCGGCGGACTTCGGGAGCATCATGAGTTCCCAATCGTGCTTCAATATTTTTCTGTTCTGCTTCTACTTCTTTTAATAAGCGATCAACTTCATCCAACTGAAGTCGAGCTACTCCATTCGCTGAATCTCTCTTTTGAGGTGAGGGAGGTAAAGCTCCTGCAACAAGGTCATTATCCTTGTTTGCTCTTGAGGCAGCACTGTCTCGCTTTAATCCATCCAAGAACGTGTCTACTTCACTCAACAACTCATTTCCTTTAGGTTTTTCTCGTCCTAAATTTTCCCAACCATCATCAGAAAAATTCCTGTAGGTTTTGGGAACCACTTTAGAGGGACTGGAATAGTTACGTCCCCATGTTCTTGATGATGGTGCTAAGGAGCGGTAGCTGCTGCTGGGAGTGGGTGGCAAAGAGTTATGTCGAGTAACTCTTCTAGAGGGACTCGAATTAAGACTAGAATCAGATCCAAGATGTCTGCTTGAGGGGTTCATTTCCCGTCTCATCAAATTTGAACTTGGGGATGAATAAACGGAACTTGTAGAATCATTCAATTTTGAGAACGAAGTGTCCTTCTTTTCAATTTGTGCAATTCTGTCTTCTAGCTCATTCACATGAGAAATAAGATCATTTACGACAGTTCGCCCAGCTAGATTGTCTCCATGACTGACTGAATCGGCGTCAGAAGAATCAACGAGGAAGAAGTCTGGTGGAATCAATAGCAGGATGTCCGTATCATCACTGTCACTCATCACTGCATCTGAAAACGGGCAAAACGAAAAGACTCAACGAAAAGAGCTGCGGTGTAGGTGAAAACTAGAAATGAAAAGTCCCTAGATCCGTAATACACCCATCTACAAGCTTGAAACTGCTCACAGAGGGACTTACCACAAGCAGAAGCAGTCCGCGATGCGCATTTCAGTTGAATCTATTTCAGCTGCGCCTAGACAGTGCATTGGAATTTCGTGGGCAGTCACAAGGCGAACTGATGTCTGACAGGTGTTCTGATCTTGGTGCAGCTGCAGCCAATGTCAAACGCCCCCACACTCCCCCATAACCTCTGTCAAATCACGCACAGCCACACTGCTCATGGTTGCATTTGCACCCTGACAGGAGAAAATTTCAATAATGAACATGAATAGAATTTAAAAAATGGGAGATCCGAGCACAAATGGAGCAAATTCAACTCACAGAATCGGCTTCCGGAGAAATAAACAAACTTTTCGAAAACGTAAACAACATCGGTGCAGGCAACTTAGCGGCAGAAAACGTCCTGTGTTCATCCGCCCATCCGCCACAGTATTTTTATCGTGCCTTTCGTCTACGTCAACCAATAAATTGAGTTTTACATTTTATTAATTTTATAAGAGATGTTTCGACTGAAAAAATTGGTTTTGGGTACTGAAGAACATGCCAAAACAGCCATTATTCTCGATGTTCGGTGTAGTGGCTAGCTCGCCGTGAAGGGTGGCAACCGGAGCGCCAAATTCGAGTGGGGGCGCGCTATCGGCCATCCGAAGCATCCCCTCCCGTTAGGGCACTTTTTCGACAGCAGACTGATGCAGTAGTAGTAGCAGTCAGGTTAACAGGAGGAAAAAAAAACATATTTGTTTGATTACTGAGCGACTTGATCCAACAGTTCGTCTGGGTCAATTTTTTTTCGACACCTTTTGAGTGACGTGATGAAACGGGGAGGGGGGGGGGGGCTTCTTCAACGGGCTTGCAACCAGCCCGACAAGAGCTCTGATCCCTTCCCCAACAGTGTGCTTTCGTCGCTGTGCCTCGCACGCATGGGCCGCGCCTCGCTGGCCAACGGTAGGTGCAAGAGAGAGAGAGAGAGAGGGACAGCAACGAAGACTATACTGGGCGCACGTGCTCGTTATTTCGTCACCCTAGTCCAGTCCGAGTCACTCCACTGCAAGACCGATTCCGGGAGTCGTTTTCGTCGCTCTGTCTCTCTCGCACTCATGGCGCTGGCTTCCCGTAGAGGTGCGAGACAGGCAGAGCGACGAAAACGACTCTCGGAGTCAGTCTGCTGCACTCACTTATCGCCCAGGGGCCACGACGGCGGCGTTGGGCGCGACGTCGCGACGTCGGACGCGAAGGGCGGGGCGGCGGGGGCGGCGGGGGCATGGAAGGGGCTGGGGTGTCTGGCGCGGACCGCGGTCCGCCGTGTGCTATGGGAACCTGTTGGCGCGCCGCGCGCCACGCCGAGCGCCACGACTACCAAACAATGATTATTCTGTGTTTCCTTCGGGCTTCGGGCCGCCGCGCCGCCGTGCGGCGTGGCCATGCCGGGGATACCAGGCCAGCTGAAAAGAAAACGAAAATGACTTTCTCTGGCCGCGTCACCGCCGCGCACAGCACAGCACAGCGCCACGAGGGGGCGGGGCGGGGCACAGTGGGCCAGAAGACCGGTGGAGGCGGCCAAAACTCTAGACGCGTTTTGAGCTCCAGAGTCGCTAAATGGGACTCGAACCGAACGTGTGACCCCACCAATGGATTCCTCGTTCGGAGAGCAATCCATTGGTGGGGTCACAGGTTCAGTTCGAGGCCTATTTAGCGGCTCTGGAGCTCGAAACGCGTCTAGAGTTTTGGCCGCTCCACTGGTCTTCTGGCCCACTGTGCGGGGCGGGGCGGGGCTGACCAGCACCGGCAGCCAGCCACACGCGGCTGCAGCAACGCCTTCGAGAAAAGAGACCTCTCAGGAACCGAACGCAGCAAAGTTCGGTTCTCCGAATTCTCGCGGGGTGAATAAATCCCACCTCTTTTCCTCCCGTAGCCGTAGTTGAAAGTCCAGTCTTGAACCTTTGCAAACCGCCCTGGGTGTCTGCCGGGGTCGTGTCGAAAAGGTTACCAAACCGCAGTGCCTTCCCGAGACCGGAAGCACTAAGCAGCCGGAAGCCGTCGCGTCGCGGGATTGGACTGTTCCGCTTCCTTTCCCGTCTTGAAAATTAGACCGGCGGCGCCACTGTATGTCGCTGCACACTGACTCCGAGAGTCGTTTTCGTCGCCCTGTCTCTCTCGCCCTCATGGGGCGTCCCGTGTACGGGGCGTGTAGGTGCGAGAGAGACGACTCCCGGAATGAGTGTGCTGGGCGCGGTGCCGCTAGGGGTGGCGCTCTTTGCTGCTCGGGGCGCGGATTGCAATCGGCGAAGCAACGAGGTTAGCCGGCGTGGCGGCGCGCGGCGGGGCGGCAGTGCGAGGACCACGGACCCAGGCCAGGACCCCGCCGGTAGCCAGGGCGCCGCACAGCTGGCTCAGGACCCACGGAGGACCGGGCCGTCGTTTGGGCCAGCCGGCCGTCCTGGCAGTCCCTGACAGTCCCTGGTCCCTGGTCCCACGGGCCGCGCCGTGCCGCGCCGTGCCGCGCCGTGCCGTGCACACGACGCCGTGGAGTAATGTAGCCGCGCAATCTATTTTCCGAATGTGGGTGGGTTTGTCTCGGGTGCCCCTCCCCCTCCCCCTCCCCCGCCCCGCCCCGGCCGCCGCCGCCACCCCGCGGGCTCCCAGGCCGGCGGCGGCCGCGCGGCGGAGCGCCGTAGCGCCGCGCCCACGGCGTCCAGGGCCTACGGCAACATGCAGACGCGTCCGGGCCGCGCGGGCCGTCCGGGGTGGGGGCTCAAGGACGCGCTGGAGGCGTGGTGGCGGCGTGGTGGAGGCGCGGTGGAGGGCCCGGAGGGGGTGCACGCGGCACCATGGCGGCACGCGGCCGCGCGGCCGCGCGGGGGGCCTCCACGGCGGCCACCGGGCACCGGGAGTCTATAAAGGGGACCGGGCGCCGGCGTGCAGGGCTAGTCCTCCGGCTCCTCCAGGGAACCCGACCACGCCTCCAGGATGCGGGCCAGAGTGAAGCAGGTAGCGATCGCGGAGTGCACCGAGTGTGTGTGTGTTTGTGTGTCCAGTGTGTGTGTGTGTGCGTGTGGCGTGCAGGTGTCCAACCGAAGGCATGTCGGCATGACGGCCACTGGGACGGCGATGGGGTGCTGGAGCTCCGCCGGCGTCGAGCTGGCCTCCTGGTCGTCGCGTGAGTGCTTGTCCGCAGCAAACGCCCCCGGACGCCCCGACGGCACCGATGGCTATCCGACCAGTGTATCGGTCCGGTCGATGCGGAGTACGCTGTACCGACCCGCTCGCCTCGCCGGACGAATTATTTCCCATCATTTCCCTTCGGAGCAAAAATGGGGGAGGGGGATGTTTCTTCCATTCAAACTTTCGGTTCGCGACTGGGACCGGACCCTGCGAAACTACCGCCAACAGTTCTGCAGAATCCATTCATTGGGTCATTCCCCAGGCACTTTTTGAAGGGCCGGGGGGATCGCCACCCTCTGCATAACTGTTGAAGGGCGCCCGCCTCGCCTTGCGGTATAAATTATTGTCGATGGGCAAGCCCGGCAACGCAACGCCAATGGCTGCGCAGCGTTCTTCTAACAGACCGCCCCCTTCGCACAGTGGGCGAGAAGACCGGTGGAGGCGGCCAAAACTCTAGACGCGTTTTGAGCTCCAGAGTCGCTAAACAGGGCTCGAACCGAACGTATGACCCCACCAATGGATTGCTCTCCGAACGAGGAAACCATTGGTGGGGCCACACGTTCGGTTCGAGTCCCATTTAGCGACTCCGGAGCTCAAAACACGTCTGGAGTTTTGGCCGCCTCCACCGGTCTTCTGGCCCACTGTGCTTCGTCCCGCCCTCTCGTGTTCAAAAAGATCGCAACTTTGGCCGCGCTTTTACGAGAGGGACGGCCGCCAAAGTGCTTGTAAAGCAGTTCTCTTTTAGGGATGCTCCCCGCCGCAGTGCCGCACTATACGCGGCCGGCCGTCATATCAACGCGGTTCATTGTAGTCGTAATATCGATTCAAAAGCCGGGTCGGGTCGGGCCGGGTCGGGTCGGTCCCGCCAGTCCAGCCACCATCGAGTGACGAGCCTGTCGACTGATTCCGAGAGTCGCTGTCGTCGCTCTGTCTCTCTCGCACCGACACGGATCGCCCCTTGAGTGCGAGAGAGACAGAGCGGTGAAAACGACTCTCGGAATCAGCCCTCTGATACGCGCGGCCCTTGATGTTGCTGCGGCTGCTTTCGGCCGACTCGGGACGGGGGCTGCTTTCGTCACCCTGTCGCCCTGTCCGTCGCACTCATCGTGGGGCGTCCCGCGGGGGTGGGGTGCGAGAGAGACAGACACACTGCCGGTTCGAAGGCGATGATGACGGGTGGCCCATGGGGGAGGTGGGCTTGGTGCGGCATGGGATTCGTACGTAGTGGGACCATGGGGAGACGTGGGCGACCAGAGCAGTCCCGTGGCCCCCTCGCGGTGAAAGGAACGCGCAGTACTGTTCGTTGCGTTTATTCGAACCGCCCTGCAGACCGATTCCGAGAGTCCTTTTCGTCACCCTGTCTCTCTCGCACTCGTGGGGCGTCCCCTTTAGGTGCGAGGGAGACGGAGCGACGAAAACGACTCGCGGAATCAGTCCGCTGACCTGCATGCCTTGCTCCCCCGGAGGACTCCTTTGTACGTCAGTTTGGACATCGAAGCGCGGCAACGCGGGGGCGGATCGGGGGGAAGGGGGCTGTGTAACACACACACACACACACACACACACACACACACACACACACACACACACACACCTACACACACACACACAGACGCGAGGCGCGGCCGACTAAAGGCGTACTTAGTGCGTGTTTTATTCACTGCCGAGCTGGCGCGCTGCAACATTGATAAGAGTTGTGCTTTTCCGGCTTTTCCGCGGGAACGCGGCAAGCGAAATGACTAGGACCGGGTCCAGGCGAATGCGCAGGCGAATGAGGGAGTTGTTGGTGTGCTGTGTGTGCTGCTTGCTCTGCCGGCCGCCCCCGGAGGACGCGCCTGCTGGGCCGCTTCCGAACGGCGGCGCTCTTGTGGCTCTGTCTCTCTCGCACTCGCAGGGCGCACAGTGGGCCAGAAGACCGGTGGAGCGGCCAAAATTATAGAAGCGTTTTGAGCTCCAGAGTCGCTAAATGGGACTCGAACCGAACGTGTGACCCCACCAATGGATTGCTCTCCGAACGAGGAATCCATTGGTGGGGTCACACGTTCGGTTCGAGTTCCATTCAGCTACTCTGGAGCTCAAAACGCGTCTCGAATTTTGGCCGCTCCACCGGTCTTCTGGCCCACTGTGGGGCGTCCCGGAGGTCCCGCAGGGGTGCGAGAGAGACAGAGCGGAAAGAGTCCGCTGCCTACGATCGCGCTTCCTTCCTCCCCGGCCGCCTCCAGACGCTCTGCCCCCAGAGGCGGCCGCCCAGCAGGCTCATTCCGAGGGGAGGCCTCTCTCTCTCTCTCTCTCTCTCTCTCTCTCTCT